TTTCGTTAGTCTCTCTGTATTCTGGTGTACCTTTTTTTGCTTGTTCTATGAGTTCCTACTCTTTGGTTTAATGATATTTTTTGCTGTTTCTTTTATAAATTTGATTTATGTCTTCATGGGATCTTTCTCCAGTTTTTGTGTTAGTTTTGTTGAATGAGCTTAATATGTCTACATCTTGGATTATATATTTTTAATGTGTCAATAAAAAGTCTATTACGTTTTCGTCTTTCCATCCGGCTATATGTCCATTCTTTGTTAAGTCTGTTTGAAAAATGTGTTCATCGTGAAGAGTTGCTCTATTCTAAAAAGTTCTTAGCATCATCTCTCCGTTTAACTAATTGAAAAGATTTAAATGAAATGTATAATGTTCATTGAATTCTGTCCAGTTTTATGATTTTGGGTTAATGTTTTAATATTGAAACACAAATCTCTTATATAAAGATTTATTTGAATTTCCAAATATTTTAAAGTATTAGAAGGATTTAATAGAAATTTTTATTGATATTATGGTTCAGTCTAATTAGGCGAAACTGTTCCATAAAATTGGAAACAAAGATTCAAATACGAATTTGTTAAAGTCTCAGGATGACTTGGATTAATTAGGAAAGATAGGTTTGATTTCCCTTTGGGGTTAGAGAATAAAAAGAAGTGGCTGTGAGCTGTAACGGTGAGGAAATTTTGAATTTTTTGAGAATATTTTAATGGGGTTAATTTTAGCATTTTTTTACCTACATTTTCCGTTTTTTTTTTCTTCCAGTACGTCAACTTTTCCCGAAATCCAAAGAAAATCTGCAAGGTAAGTATTTGTCTTTCTATCATTGACACTGATAATCTATTCTACCAAACAAAGAGGTAATAATACGAAAACTTTATTAGATAGAAAAAGACGCAGAACGCTTATTGCGCAAGACGAGGCAAAACGTACCAAATTATGTTAGACTTACGTATAGAAATCCTTTCTTATTATTTGCACGGAATAAGAAAGGAAGGAGGAAAACCGCGTGATGTGCAACGTATTTGTCAACCAAAAACACAAACATTTGAAAATCGATCACTTGCCAAGCTAAGTCAAACTGATTATCAAGTATAATTTTATCCTTGGCAGACCATGGGCAATGAACAAGGACAAGTAAATACCCAGCGTGCAAAAGGATTTCTTCACACCTGTAGCCAATAAAAATGCATTGCCTCGTGTTGCGCGCGCATACAGGTAAAAATAGATAGGTCTATGGTCTATTACCGGTGTGAAGTTGGTGGCAAAAGATAGTAGCCAAATTTTCCGAAGATACCCGAACGCCCAGTGGCGTCGGGTCATATTTTTATCGACAGAAATTGTATTTCACCTCACTTGACTTAGTTTTCTAAAATTCTACTACAGCTACATATCAGCAAAAAAAAAACATATTCTTGGGAAAATTATATCAAGGGGTATAGAAGACGGTATTTTTTTAAATGGTATTTTGTTTTTTAAAATATCTCAAAATCTGCTGGTTTCAAAAGATTCATATTTGAACCACGGTTAACTTAGGTGCTGATTCAATTTTAAAAAAATATTTCATCTCCAGCAACCCGGGACAAGGGGTTCAACTAGGGGTTGGAAGCATATTTTTTGAATTATATTGAAATATCTCAAAATCTGGTCGTTTCTACAGATTTATATTTGAACCACAGTTGACCTAGGTGCTGCTTCAATTTAAAAAAAAATATACCGCCGATCGCGGAATAAATAAGTGTTTTTACCTCATTTCCAAAGAGGTACAAACAAAATCATTTTCGGTACAATCAATTACTTTGTTTGTACCGCCAGAAAATCATATTTTTATTAGCATCCGTCAAAGTCGGGCGCCAGGTTCACACACCTACTTCACACCGGTTGGTCTATTGAACACCATAATACTGATTACAACCTACTTTGGTATTTTTGGCTCACTATGAATAGTTACTTATTATTACTGTAGGGTACGAAACCTAATCGGTATCTGTGTTTGTATTTATAGGTATAAGTATTTTTTTCCGTTTGTAATTATGTAAATATTATATTTCTTCATTTCTCCAAATAATTCTCTTCCGACTGTGCCTATTTTTTTTTACATAGACTGTACCGTCACGGTTGAATAGGCGAGGCGCGCTGGATCTCAGGGTAGCAACAGGGCGACGAAAAGGGAATATCTCTATATAGGTTGATAGAAGAGGATAAAAGATACGAGCGGAAGCGACTCGCGACGGTAACAGGGTGGCACCGAATGGCACGGCGCCAGTCGGGAAGTAGCCACCAACGAATAATATTAAAAAGAGGGGTCAATCGTTAATTGAACGCTGAAGGCGGAAGACGGCCGCCAGATTTTTCCTAGACGGGGTAAATTTAATTATCAAGACGTATATTTCTAAAGCCGTCAAGACGTACCTATACTTAGTTGTGAAGTTGTTATTGTGATTTTCCGTGCCAATTGTATATTTATCAATGACGTATTTATCTACCATCTAATCTATCTATTCTTCGTAAATATTATTAAAATTCCTTATATTTTCAATGGACCGTTACGTTTGATTTTCTGCTTGCCCCAAAATACCCCTAGACAACGATAAAAATCCTACATTTTGTAAATTTTAAGATTGTAATTTTGTGAATTTCAAGATTGTAATTTAGTTAATTTTAAGGCAATTTTTGAATTGCAATTTAATGAATTTTAAAATTGTAGAATTTTAGGATTACAATTTTGTGAATTTAGAGAAAACTTCAAAACTGTAATTTTTTGAATTTTAAGATTGTTATCTTGTGAATTCCAAGAAAATATTAAAATTGTAATTTTGTGAATTTTAAGAAAAATTTCAAAATTGTGATTTTTATAATTTTCAAGATTATAACTTTAAAAGTTTCAAAAAAATTGTAATTTTTTAAATTTCTAGATTGTAAATTTGTGAATTCCAAAAAAATTAAAAAATTGTAATTTTTCGAATTTTTAAGATTGTAACTTGAATGAGTTTTAAGAAAGTTGTAATCCTTTGAAATCTTGTGAAATTCAAAAAAATTGTTATTTTGTAAATTTCTTAAAAACTTGTTAATCACTTGTAGAAAAGTGTTTCGAAACTTTTAAATTAAATTATTGAATTTTTCTGGATTTTTCAAAATTTTTGAATTTTTGTCAAATATTTTGGTTCAATTTTTTCAAAAATCTTTGTTTTTTTTTATATTCTGAAATTCTAGACTAGAAAATGTACTAGCTCTAGTACAATTAAAAAAAAAATCATCAGTTTTAGATAAAAGTTTTAGGATTTATTAAAATTTATGAATTTTCAAAAATGTTTGATTAAATTGTTTTCAAGTTTTTTTCAACAATTTATAGTAATACGACGTTGCCAAATCAATCAATCTAGATCAATACCTATACAGTTACGCGACGTTGCAAAAATATATATTTTTTATAAGTAAATTAGCAATCAGTCTATTTCAAACGAAGCTGTCAAATTTACATATTTATGAGCTAATTCCAGAAAATCACTTACCTCGACTCCAGTCACTCCCAGCGCGTCTCTGATGTTGGGCGTGAGTCTGAAAGGCACTTTTTCAGGCACGCGCAACGTTTTGCCCTTTTCGAAGCACACGTTGTAGTCAATGTGGACGTTGTCCAAGTGCCGGTCACCCAAACCAATAATGTAACCTTCAAAAAAAATATATACCTATATACTGATTTTTTTTTTTTTTTTTTTAAATTCCGGTAGAAAATGCGATTAGCTTCAATTTATGCCTAATTACGTCGAAATCGGCCGGAAAATAACAAAGTTATGAAATGTACTAAATCTAGTACAATTTCTTTAAAAAAAAAGTTGTGTGTTTTATAACTTAAAAATGATTTTTTTTTTTTAAATTCAAGTTGAAATGTATCAAAAAACCAAAATTGAAAATTGTACTAAATTTAGTACAATTTCCAAAAATATATATTTTTTTTATTTTATAGGAGATTATTAAAAGTTTTTTTTTAATACATTTAAAATGTACTAAAAATTCGTGGATGAAAGATGTACTAAACCTAGTACAATTTCTAGAAAAAAATTTAATCATTGTAAAAGCGTCTTTTATAACGTTTATAAGTTTTTCTAAGTAAATTCGAATTGTACTAGAACTAGTACAATTCCAAAAACTTACTCACCAATCATACTCATGACGGCAACACTGTACGAGTACCGTTTGACCACTTGCCACCAGGCGTTGGCCGAGACTGCGTTTCGTTTGTGAGCTCCGTCAGGACTTCTTTAAGCACCGCCAGAGGCCACTCTTTGCGGTTGTCAATGTTACTTACTCCGTGTTCGACCAATTTGTTGTAAAAGAGCTCACTCAGAAGGACGCGGCACTGTAGTGGATCCTGAGAAAAAGAAATTTTAGGAAGATGCTTTCTGAGCCGGTTCAGAAAATACATATACGAGTTGTGGAGTTGCTTCAAAATTTTTTGGAAGTTGCTACAGAATCTTCAAAAATTACTTTAAATTTTTTGATAAGTTGCTTCAGATTTTTTTGAAAATTGCATTAAATTTTTTTTGGAAGTTGCTTCAGATTTTTTGAAAAGTAATTTCAGATTGTTTTGTAAATTGCTTCAAATATTTTTGGAAAATTCAAAAAATATACGTTGCTTCAAATTCGTTAAAAGTTGCTTCAGAAACTTTGAAACTTACATCAGATTTTTTAAAAGTTGCTTCAGAATCTTGGGAAGTTGTTTCAAATTCTTTGCTTAAGATTTTTTGGAAGTTGCTTCAGATCTTTCGAAATTTACTTCAGATTTTAATAATAAATTCTCTCAAAGCTGCCCAAGATTTTTTTGAAAGATGTTTTAAATTTTTTGGAATTTTTTTTAGATTTTTTTGCAAGTTGCTTCAAATATTTGAAGAGTTGCTTCAGATTTTTGAAAAGTTAATTTTGCTTGTAATTACATATTTACATTATTTAGAAATGGTTCAAAATTTCTTAAAAATTCCAAAGATCAGAAAAAAACTCAAAAAATTCTTACCTTTAGCGTTGGGTTTGGCCAATTCACGCTGTTGCCAGCGCTTGTATAATGCAAAAACTGGCGTTGTCCCGTCCACCCACGATATCAATCCAGATCTCGGACCTGAAATATAGGAATTTTACAACAATTTGGCTACACTGCAACTTAAGGCAACAGTGTTTTTTTTTTCAAATTCAAACCGACAATCTGGTCCCAAAAAATCTGGCAATGTTGCAAAATTTAATTTTTAGAATGAAACAAATTAGATTTTTTTCATCAATTTGACAACAATGCAACACTGTATTTTTTTTAAAATTTGAATCGATGTTGCTCAATCTATCTACAAATTATTTTTTTTTTCGTACAACGTTGCCATTTAATCTAATTTTCTTTAAAAACTCACCCAAAGGTATTACGGAATAGTGTCGAGCCCTGTAGAGGTTTTCGCCGGCCGGATCGGCGTTCTGAGCCATCATCGTGTTGGCGATGGTCAGAAATTGCATTATTCTCTCGTCCGAATGTAAATCTTCGAGACCCTGAAATTTCGAAAATTTCAATTTTGGCTCAGAATTTTTTTTTCTGATTCCAGACACTAAAACTAATACAATTGATTTTTTTCAAAGTTTTGAATTTTTTCAACCTGACCAAGGACTTTTGAATTTTTTGAACATTTTGAATTTTCTAGAAATTTTTGAATTTTTCACGTCTTTCGATTTTTTTTCTAATCCTTTTATTTTATAAATTGAATTTTTTTTAATCCTTTTTTTTATTTTATAGTTTTGAATTTTTTGAACAATTCAAATTTTCTAGAAATTTTTGAATTTTCCATGATTTTGATTTTTTTTTAAATCCTTCCATTTTCCAGATTGAGTTTTTCTCAATTTTTATTTAGATTTTTTTCAAAGTTTCGAGCTGTTTTGAACTGACAAGTACATAGTTTTGCATTATTTGAAGATTTCAAATTTTCTAGAAATTTTTCAACTTTCCATGTTTTATGATTTTTTTTTTTCAAAGTTTTGAATTATTTGAATAATTCAAATATTTTTCATGTTTTTTGATTTTTTTTTAAATCCTTTCATTTTCCAGATTGACATTTTTTTGATATTTTTTTTTCAAAGTTTTGAATTTTTGAACAATTCAAATTTTTTAGAAATGTTTGAATTTTCCATGTTTTTTGAAATTTTTTAAATTCTTTCATTTTCCAGTTTGAATTTTTATTTTAATTTTTTTCACAATGTTTTCAATTTTTTTGCACTTTTCAAATTCTTTTCAACTTTTTGAATATTTTAAATTTTCTAGAAATTTTTGAATTTTTCACGTTTTTGATTTTTTTTTCTAATCCTTTTATTTTGTAAATTGAATTTTTTTGAATCTTTTTTTTATTTTATAGTTTTAAATTTTTTGAACAATTCAAATTTTCTAGAAATTTTTGAATTTTCCATGGTTTTGATTTTTTTTTTTTAAATCCTTTCATATTCCAGATTGAATTTTTTTCAATTTTTATTTTGATTTTTTTCAAAGTTTCGAGTTGTTTTGAACTGACAAGTACATAGTTTTGAATTTTTTGAACATTTCGAATTTTCTAAAAAATTTCGAACTTTCCATGTTTTATGATTTTTTTTTTCAAAGTTTTGAATTTTTTGAATATGTAATTCAAATATTTTTCATGTTCATTCATAAAACATGGAAAGTTCAAAAATTTCTAGAAAATTCTGAATCTTCAAGAAATTCAAAATTATATAGGTAGGTACTTGTCAGTTCAAAACAATTTGAAACTTTGAAAAAAATTAAAATAAAAATTGAAAAAAATTTAATCTGGAAAAGGATTTAAAAAAAAATCAAAACCATGGAAAATTCAAAAATTTCTAGAAAATTTGAATTGTTCAAAAAATAAAAAAATAAAAGGATTAGAAAAAAAATCAAAAAACGTGAAAAATTCAAAAATTTCTAGAAAATTCAAAAAGTTCAGAAGAATTTGAAAAGTGCAAAAAAATTCAAAACTTTGTGAAAAAAATAAAAATTCAAACTGGAAAATGAAAGAATTTAAAAAATTTCAAAAAACATGGAAAATTCAAAAATTTTTACAAAATTTGAATTGTTTAAAAATTCAAAATTTAAAAAAAAAAAAACAGAAAATGTCAATCTGGAAAATGGAAGGATTAAAAAAAAATCAAAAACCATGGAAAATTCAAAAGTTTCTAGAAAATTCGAATTGTTCAAAAAATTCAAAACTGTGAAATAAAATAAAAAATTCAAAATATTCCAAAAGTTCAGAAGAATTTGAAAAGTGCAAAAAAATTCAAAACTTTGTGAAAAAAATTAAAATAGAAATTCAAACTGGAAAATGAAAGAATTTAAAAAAAACTAAAAAAAACATGGAAAATTCAAAAATTTTCACAAAATTTTAATTGTTTAAAAATTCAAAATTTTTTAAAAAAAAAACAGAAAATGTCAATCTGATTTGAAAAAAAAAATCAAAAAACACGAAAAATATTTGAATTATTCAAAAAATTCAAAACTTTGAAAAAAAAAAAAATTCATAAAACATGGAAAGTTCAAAGATTTCTAGAAAATTCTGAATCTTCAAAAAATTCAAAATTATGTAGGTACTTGTCAGTTCAAAACAATTTGAAACTTTGAAAAAAATCAAAATAAAAATTGAAAAAAATTCAATCTGGAAAATAAAAGGATTCAAAAAAAAATCAAAACCATGAAAAATTCAAAAATTTCTAGAAAATTTGAATTGTTCAAGAAATTCAAAACTTTAAAATAAAATAAAAAAAAATCAATTTAGGAAATAAAAGGATCAGAAAAATTTCAAAAAACATGGAAAATTCAATTTTTTTTACAAAATTTGAATTGTTCAAAAATTCAAAATTTAAAAAAAAAATCAAAAAATATCAATCTGGAAAATGAAAGGATTGAAAAAAAAATAAAAGAACATGGAAAATTCATAAATTTCTAAAAAAATTGAATTGTTCAAAAAATTCAAAACTTTAAAATAGAATAAAAAATTCAATTAAGGAAATAAAAGGATCAGAAAAACATCAAAAAACGTGAAAAATTCAAAAATTTCTAAAAAATTTGAATTATTCAAAACTTTTAAATTTAAAAAAAATTCCCAAGTTTGAAAAAATTCAAAACTTTAAAAAAAAATCACATTGAAAATTCAAAAAAATTCAATCTGGAAAATAGAAGGATTTGAAAAAAAAAAATCAAAAAACACGAAAAATATTTGAATTATTCAAAAAATTCAAAACTTTGAAAAAGAAAATTCATAAAACATGGAAAGTTCAAAAATTTCTAGAAAATTCTGAATCTTCAAGAAATTCAAAATTATGTAGGTACTTGTCAGTTCAAAACAATTTGAAACTTTGAAAAAAATTAAAATAAAAATTGAAAAAAATTCAATCCGGAAAATAAATAAAAAATTCAAAACTTTGTGAAAAAAATTAAAACAAAAATTCAAACTGGAAAATGAAAGAATTTAAAAATTTTCAAAAAACATGGAAAATTCAAATTTTTTTACAAAATTTGAATTGTTTAAAAATTCGAAATTAAAAAAAAAAAAAACAGAAAATGTCAATCTGGAAAATGGAAGGATTAAAAAAAAATCAAAAACCATGGAAAATTGAAAAGTTTCTAGAAAATTCGAATTGTTCAAAAAATTCAAAACTGTGAAATAAAATAAAAAATTCAAAATATTCCAAAAGTTCAGAAGAATTTGAAAAGTGCAAAAAAATTCAAAACTTTGTGAAAAAAATTAAAATAGAAATTCAAACTGGAAAATGAAAGAATTTAAAAAAAAACTAAAAAAAACATGGAAAATTCAAAAATTTTCACAAAATTTTAATTGTTTAAAAATTCAAAATTTTTAAAAAAAAAAACAGAAAATGTCAATCTGGAAAATGAAAGGATTAAAAAAAAAAAAAAAAATGGAAAATTCAAAAATTTCTAAAAAATTCAAAATTTTAAAGTACTTGTTTTTCAGTTCGAAAAAATTCAAAATTTTGAAAAAAAATCAAAATAAAAATTCAAAAAAATTCAATGTGAAAAATGAAAGGATTTGAAAAAAAAAATCAAAAAACACGAAATATATTTGAATTATTCAAAAAATTCAAAACTTTGAAAAAAAAAAAAAAATTCATAAAACATGGAAAGTTCAAAGATTTCTAGAAAATTCTGAATCTTCAAGAAATTCAAAATTATGTAGGTACTTGTCAGTTCAAAACAATTTGAAACTTTGAAAAAAATTAAAATAAAAATTGAAAAAAATTCAATCCGGAAAATAAAAGGATTCAAAAAAAAATCAAAACCATGAAAAATTCAAAAATTTCTAGAAAATTTGAATTGTTCAAGAAATTCAAAACTTTAAAATAAAATAAAAAAATCAATTTAGGAAATAAAAGGATCAGAAAAATTTCAAAAAACATGGAAAATTCAATTTTTTTTACAAAATTTGAATTGTTCAAAAATTCAAAATTTAAAAAAAAAATCAAAAAATATCAATCTGGAAAATGAAAGGATTGAAAAAAAAATAAAAGAACATGGAAAATTTATAAATTTCTAAAAAAATTGAATTGTTCAAAAAATTCAAAACTTTAAAATAGAATAAAAAATTCAATTAAGGAAATAAAAGGATCAGAAAAACATCAAAAAACGTGAAAAATTCAAAAATTTCTAAAAAATTTGAATTATTCAAAACTTTTAAATTTAAAAAAAATTCCCAAGTTTGAAAAAATTCAAAACTTTAAAAAAAAATCTCATTGAAAATTCAAAAAAATTCAATCTGGAAAATAGAAGGATTTGAAAAAAAAAATCAAAAAACACGAAAAATATTTGAATTATTCAAAAAATTCAAAACTTTGAAAAAAAAATTCATAAAACATGGAAAGTTCAAAGATTTCTAGAAAATTCTGAATCTTCAAGAAATTCAAAATTATGTAGGTACTTGTCAGTTCAAAACAATTTGAAACTTTGAAAAAAATTAAAATAAAAATTGAAAAAAATTCAATCCGGAAAATAAAAGGATTCAAAAAAAAATCAAAACCATGAAAAATTCAAAAATTTCTAGAAAATTTGAATTGTTCAAGAAATTCAAAACTTTAAAATAAAATAAAAAAATCAATTTAGGAAATAAAAGGATCAGAAAAATTTCAAAAAACATGGAAAATTCAATTTTTTTTACAAAATTTGAATTGTTCAAAAATTCAAAATTTAAAAAAAAAATCAAAAAATATCAATCTGGAAAATGAAAGGATTGAAAAAAAAATAAAAGAACATGGAAAATTCATAAATTTCTAAAAAAATTGAATTGTTCAAAAAATTCAAAACTTTAAAATAGAATAAAAAATTCAATTAAGGAAATAAAAGGATCAGAAAAACATCAAAAAACGTGAAAAATTCAAAAATTTCTAAAAAATTTGAATTATTCAAAACTTTTAAATTTAAAAAAAATTCCCAAGTTTGAAAAAATTCAAAACTTTAAAAAAAAATCACATTGAAAATTGAAAAAAATTCAATCTGGAAAATAGAA